ATATATTTTTTTTTTTTTTTTTTTTTTACATAAATTCAAAACATTTTCATACTATTTAATCATATATGTTCCAACAAATTATTATTCAGAATTCATTCTTCCGAAAAATAATTGTCAAACGGGGCCAAAATAATTTTTAAGATTATTTAATGTTTGTGGTTAGTGAAAGTTAAAATTAATTAACTATCTGTTAAAAAATTTTAATGATTTACTTAAAAAAAGAAAAAATGGGACCATTGTTTACTACTAGGCTCCCATTTGATGGGGATTAAATTTAAATTTTTAGTAAATTTTGATAAATATTGATGAAATATGTGGTTGAAAAATTATGAATTCTATGAAATATGTAATTAAAATTAATTATTGATTTTAATTTAATTAAAATAATTCCTATAAACTGGAGCTAAATCTTACAAAGAAAGGTACGTTAATATGTAATAAGAAATTAATTAAAAGTAATTTGGTCCCTTCTAAAGATTTTACCTAACAAGCTGTGTTTCTGTATTTTATTTATCATTTCCTAAATTTGATCTTAATTTTGTTCATTATTGTTGTTAATTATCGACTTTACTATTGGATGATTATATCACATTTTTTGTTAAATGCATTACATACAATTTTAAACTTTATGACCTCCTTAGTGCTAGCAAGGGTAATGTGAAACATCATTTCTATGTTGTAAATTTTTACAGCCCTCTCGCGCAGGTGGGATCGTGATTATTTTAATCGCACGCCCCCCACCTCTGTACGTGATAGGACTGTCAACAATGCTGTACATGTAACAGCTCTTTTAAATAATTATATTATGACTTCTTTTTTATGACTATTTACTTAAAAATCCAGTATTCGTGTTATTAAAAAAAAAAAAAAGCTTTACTGTACATATTCTTTAATTAATCTAAATTTTCTTATTTCTGACATATTATATTCATATTTTTCCACCCTCAACTCATAACATCTCTATGTATCTCCCAACCCTCATCAATTACTCTCACAACGTGTCCCGATTTATCATTTTGTAATATTGTAGATATTTAAAAAACTCATACTTTAAGAAAGTTTGGTCTTCAGATAAAAAAAAAAAAATTTAAAAAATAAAAGGAGAAAGAAAGCAAATAAAACTTAAGATGGAGAAAATAACATACCTCAAAGGATTAAAATGAAAAAGAAAAAAAAAATCCTCTTGGAACACTGAGTTTTTCCAAGAAGATATTGTCACCTTCTAGGAGTTATTTTGCCACCATTTTTGTACGCAATTAAGCTTTTGATGGTCGGCGTCTCCTATTCAAGATGATGGTTTATAACACTCTTGATCATAAACACTCAAATCTTGTCACGTTTGTTGGGTTGTCTGCGCATATAATATATTTTACTATGATAAAATACTAATTTATAATAAATATATTGTAATTTCATTTATTTATTGAGCATGTCAATTAAAGTATTTATAATCAATTGTAATAATATAAGTTTGGTACTTACGTTGGGAAGTGTAATATGACACAACTTATATTTTGATTATAAATAATTTATTGATATCCAATGTATAAGGGTTGACACCACTGCCGGAGCCAGCACCCGACGAGCCGGCGCGGCCGCCCGTGCTGGCTCCGGTAGGAAAGGATTTTCACGTTGATGTAGTTATTATGTTAAATATGTAAAATTGTACCATTATTCACAATAATGATTGTAGCTCATTTGGTAGGGCATTGGTTTTGCAAGTGAGAGGTAACCGGTTCGACTCCTCTCCTTTCCACTTCTTCTTTTAATTTTTCAAATACAATAAATAATAGTTAAATAATTGTATACTATTTTGTTTTAACTAGCACTGATGTAGCTTTGTATCTCAATTGGGAATTCTATTTTTATCATATCAGAGGTATGGGATTCGATTTCCTTCACCTCTTCTTCTTCTTTTTAATTTTTTAACACAATAAATAATAATTAAACAATTCTATATTAATAGTTTTTGTTTCTAAAAAAATTTATTTAAAAAAATTTGTTAACTCAAATTATTACTTCATAGTATATACTTTTATTATTATATTTTATCAATTTATTTTGTAAAATTCAAATTTGGACAATTTAATTACTGATCTTTATTATTTTAAGAGTTTGAAAAAAAGATTTCTTTTTTCAAATAAAAATAGCTTTAAAAATCATTGCTTTAAAAATTTATTGACTGAAATTATTATTTCATAATATATACTTTAATTGTTAAGTTTTATCAATTTATTTTGTAAAATTCTTTGTTCTTCTAAGAGTTTGAAAAATACTTTTCTTTTTGGGGGCAAAAATAGCTCTAAAATTCATTTTTTTTTAATTTTTTTCTTTATCGATTAATCAATACATATAAACTTCATCTTGTCTCGCTTAAATTCAAAAAAATTTGAAACTTGATAATAGGTATATGACTCAAAAAATGTATTTTTATTCTTTATTATTTTGAGTTGTACTGAATTATATTTTAATATTTATATTATTTTACATTTTAGTGCATTTATATATTCATTGGAGATTCTTTTAATATAAGTTAATTAAATATTAGTAAACAATATCGCTATATTGGACGGTGTTTGATAAATGCTCCACTCTCCGCCCTAACTCACTCGAACAGCTGGATTCGTCCCTGGTTGACACATTGTACTGGAATGTGATAGTGTATATTGATTCACTATTCAGAATTGTGATTTATCCTAGTCACATAAATAGTTAAAAGTGACACACTAATATATTTGGAGTATATCGAACAGACTCTGTGTTAAGTTTAATTCTATAGTATAACAGTGCAAACAATTGAATTATATTTGATTACTATGCATTTCATCTATATTTTTTGACAAGATTATGTTTATCTTTTCATTATTTTAATGGTCTTTGATTTATCATTGGGTGAGATCAATTTGATTGGTCAAAATATCTCCCTGAGCTGGAAGCTTTAGAACGAGCAAAGTAGAGAGCATGAATTCGTGTCGAGAATCGTCACTATGAAAAATGATAGAGTGACTACTTAAGTATTTTTTTTATTGAACAAATAAAATCTGAGTTCAATGTTTAATGACGGCTAAATTTCGACATATGTGATTTCTTCACAGAATTGTTGAAAAAAATGATATTTAAGTTAGTAAGAATAATTAGAAGGGCAAAATTGTCATTTATACCCTTACTTAATTATCAAATCTCGAAAGGGATAAAATACATATACGATAGATCAAAGAAAAATGTTACCGATTTATTGACTTCTGTGATCTTATATATTCCAAAAATTCGATATTTTGCCTTTAATGAAAAAGCAAAGTCCAATAATTACATTTATACCCTTGCTTAATTATCAAATCTCGAAAGGGATAAAATACATATACGATAGATCAGAGAAAAATGTTAATGATTTATTGACTTCTGTGATCTTATATATTCCAAAAATTCGATCTTTTGCCTTTAATGAAAAAGCAAAGTGCAATAATTACATTGAGTGATATAAGGTTGACTAAACGAATCTAATTATTGGAGTTTCGATAATATATGTTCAATCAGGTCCTGTTGTAATTCTATAAAGTATTGAAACTTAATTAAGGTAATTGTAATAGTTTTATACTTATTTGTAATTACAATAAAGTTTTTTACTAAGTTGTAATTACTATAAAAGTTATAAACTTAATTATAAAACTGAAATTATAAAATTATACATGTAATTAAATATGAACTAATTGGATGTTGACTTTAATTAAAACTCATATTTGAATTTTAATTAAGACCCTTAATTAAATGTGAAATTATTATTGTACTAAAATAGGAATTATTCTATCTCTATAAATAGAGATTAGATAAAACATAGACATCATGTAGAAAAGAACAGTCATGATAATTTCACAGTATTCAAATTTGGAGAGAAAAAAATGAGAGGGAAAATAATTATTTTCTTATTATGGGTTTGTTTGAGCCACATTATTTTCAAAAAAAAAAATACATTCTTCAACAGTAATTTGACATCATTTCAACCACACATTTTTCAATAAAATAATATTACACGTAAATCTAAAATTTTTCCTTGTTTTTTAACCATACATTTCCCATTAATTTGACATGAATAATGCATTTTTCCTAGAATGTGACTCAAACATGGGTTATATTCAATTGTTCAGTCCAAGAATTAATTTTTTGATTTAATGAAAACAATGTGCTCACACACCGGCATAATCTTGACTTTGGAGAATACCATAGAAGACTTGGATGTTTGAAGCATCAAGTTTTCGAATTAAAATGTTGAAAGTTTATGATCCAAAACACTGAAAGTTCGTGATTCAAAATTAATTCAAAATTTGACCATTGAATTTAGGTAAAAATTCGAATCATATATCTTGATATAACATACACGTGAACATCTGGATAATTTTGTTTATTGAATTAGAGAAATTTTTGAATTTCTGGATAATTATGCTTTTGCATTCCAACAACGCCATTTTTGATAAATAAATCTGTAAGTTATAATGTAAATATAACACAACCGCTCAAATATATTACTTTCGAAGATTTACTACTAACTTAATGGACCTTTCAAAGCTATGCGCCAAGTTCAAAGTTTTGGACAAGGATGGGTCAATACAGCGTGCACAAAAGTAAGATCTTTGGAGCAGGGACGATGCTTTTGGACCTGTGCTTTACTGGTCAGATATTGGGAAGCCATGGAAATGGCAATGAACTAGGATTCTGTTGAGGATTTGATTTGTATCAAAATAGGA